CAGCAATGTGAATTGTGAAAAAAGGGCGATTTGGTGGCGGGGGGGCGAACTGTCGACTGTCGAGGACGGGACAAGGGGTTTGACGATGGTGGACTGGACGATTCGGTAGATCAGACGTTGGAGGGGTTTCGCAGTTGGAGGGAGCTGTATCAGTCCGATCCGAGAGGCGAGACTGATCAGACGGCAGGGCCAGGTGCGACAGGTGGTGGGCGGAGTTGAGACGACTTCTGTTAGAGGCGCTTTGACGAGGGGGCCCCGAGGCTATTCTGACGTTTCGGTTGCAACAGGGGAGGGTCCGTTTTTCCCTTCTCTTGCGCTTTTGTGTGCAGCGTTGCCTGTGTTGTTCCCTTTTGACAATGCGGCTCGAATGCAAAGTGTGGGTATGCGCTATTACGCTACGCTACACAGTGAATGCGATGAACAAGGGTCGTTTCTCTTGATCGGTACGGGTTGGCGTCTGTTAAACAAGAGTTGGGTATGGCGGTTGCGCTTAGCTTTGTCTTGTTGGAAAGTTTGTTGGAACCAACGACATTCAGACCGAAAATGGCAATAGGTTACCAGACTGCTGGGAGGAGGATGGAATGTGGATGGATCATGGAGGGAATGGGAAAACAAAGGGAAGAAAGGAAAAACAACCAAACGAGGATGACGAGTCGACGTCCTCATATCCGCATCCAATCCCCCCCATTCTCCATGCTGGATGGCCTGTCGTCTGGTTCTCCGCTGATGGGCCATTCGGATAGCATGGCATGGCATTGGCAAGGTACTTTAGCTACCTGGCCAGCTGTACGACTACGGAGCAGTATGCACGAATGATGATTTGCGGTCGGGAGGTCGTTGTCCAATTCCTCTCAGCGACGTTGTGTCGGGCACCACAGAAACTCAGATTGACGGTCAAATTGGCCACCACCTGCCTCCTTCTTGCCGCCCGCCTAGAGGAACGGATCTCAAAGTGGACAGATGAGAAGGTGACGGGAGACGCAACGGCGGCCGGTGGTTGGCTGATTTTAATTTTGGAACACGGACGCCAGACCCGTTTCGGCCGGGCCCATGTTGCTGGGCGCTTAACGGTGCTGAGGGAAGTTGCCGACCACCAGGTGAGGCGAGCACCACTCCTTCCTCCGTACACCACACCTCACGGGAGAGCTGCGGTGGCTGGATTTTGGTGACACAGGATTCGCTGGTTGCACAACGATGGGGCATTGAGGGACTATTCTTGAATACCATCACAAGGACAACCCGCAAAAAAGACACTATTAAAAACTCCAATGTGATGGCATCGTGCTACCGAGATGCGCTACAGCTGCATGCCGCTGCACTACCGATGCAATTATAGAGTGATCCGGCCACTGAAGGCGGGCTGTTTTCTATCTGGGGGTCTTTGCCCAGCTGCCCAGCATGTGGCTAGCAGGGAATATTCGATATTGCTTCCCCATCTCGCAAGGAAGACGATAGGGATGTTGCTTTGAATAGGCTCAACCATGATGTGAGGCCAAGCCAAATACATAGTTCTCATTACCCTTTTGCTGCGAATTGCAACTTTGCAACACAACGACGGGAAGCCATTGGCTACGTGAATAATTAGAGCTACCCTCATGAGAAAGCATCACCCTCGAAGCTTCCCTGGAGTTGACCTATCACGCACCCACGGCACAAGTGCACCTTCGAAAGTTGAGTTCAAAGGTCCAAACACTCTTCACCGTCTCTTCCATGCCAGATTGAAGGTTCCTTCCGTACGGTATCGACTGACTCTCTCGCCTAACTCTCTTTTCTCCCTTCAAAGATGATCCGGGGAACCCTTTCCGTTTTCCAACCTAAAATATGCATCGTGCTTTCCCCCGGTTAAGCTCTTGCCCACTCTACCACTCTACGAGACAAGCACGGTAAGGTAAGGTAAGAGCGGTCACCGCACCGCAACAGAAGGCACAGAAAAAATAAAGGACGGAAGGACAGGTGGGAGGAACGGAGGGTGTCAGGGCCCAGGGGTCACCCCCACATTCCCACTAGTCTCTTTCGGGCTTGGCGGCATGGGACAAGAGTTACACATGCGTTGAGGGTGCGGCAGGTCCCCATCAACATCGCTCCTGCGTTTTTGTACGCAGTACGTACACTACGCCTGTTGACCGAAGCGGCAGGGACAGGCCCCCTTCTCTTTCCTCCTTTGGTCGTCTTGGCCCGTGCATCACCCGCAAATCTCCAAACTTGTCATCCCAGCACATCGGCCCTTCATCCACACTTTATCCCCGTCATGAAACCTTCAGCACGCTCGCGGCTCACTCTCTGCCAGCCCGCACTTCACTCTCTCCCTCACAACTTACGCCAGGAACCATAGAACGCCATGCTACCTCTAGCTTGATACACAAGCCCGCCCAAACCCTACTCAACAGCGTCAACACCTGTCAGCCTACGTATCTTGATTCCATCCATGACCCAACCCACCTGTCGCCCGAGCAAGGTTCGCACCCAGGCAGCGTCGTTATCCTGCCATCCGCCCCCGTCTCACCCTTCCCCTGTCTATCCCTGAATCCTTCAGATGGATCATGGCTGCTTGATGGCTGTCGATTGCTCTAGCGGGAAGTCTAAGCCATGTGCAGCGCTCTAGTCCAATGACACTGCGTTCTTGGCCCAGAGTCTCTCTGCTTCCATGTCCTCCCTTCTGCGCAGCGTGTCAGACGCTCACACCTCCCAGCAAAGAAGCATTCCATGAGCCCATCCATGCGGTCTTGCACGTCAAAATCGTACGATTATGTTTACAGATCACCTGTCGTTGATTCATCCTACTCAAAATCCCTAATCAACCATATTTCGCTCCCCAGTTCAAGCTTAAAGAGTTCAAGCATCTCGCATTTATCTTCCCGCCATCAGCCCATCTAAATCTTGGCTCAACGTCCTCCTTCCAGCGAGGCTGACGGTTGAGTTCCTGCCTCGTTCTCGTTCTCTCTGGACCACCCACACACCTCGATGCTCCCGACCCCTGGCCCAACATTTGCCTTCCGGCACTCTCGGCATTCGGCACACAATCTCCAACTCTACTCCTTTTCTCACTCAATGCTGACAGACTCGGCATCTACTTTTCACACTTGGATTGACTCGCCCCCAGTTCGACTCGTTCCGCTTCGAGTATCATCGGCGGTCTGAACCCTCCAAGCCCGTCAGCGCTGTCTGGTATCGATGGGGCCTATTGCGAGACGGAAATGACGTGGGCTATCAGCCAGCTTCGCCCGAACACCCCTCGCTTTGCCTGGGTCTCACGATACCGGTAGCGTCGCCAAGCATATTCGAATTGTTTTGCTCCTCCTCTTTGCTGCAGTGGCTGTCGCTCGGAGTTTGACACTACAATGCCAGGTCCGGGTGAAACGAGCAAAGCTGGACATTGGCACGGGTCTCCGCCCTCAAAACGGCTTTCATGCCCGCATGAAGCACCAACCCTACCCACCTGCATGATCGTCACTGACACAGACATTCCAACAACGCCCAAGTCAGCCTCTTCAAGGATCTCGAGTCAATCTCCACATTTTACGCCAAGCTTTACGCCAAGTGGATTGTTTAAGCTTCCTTCGCCGAGCAGGGGTCAACTGACATCAATAAGACCAGCCAGTGAAGAGGTCGATCGCCTGTGTGTGATGCTCGCAACCGCCGGCAACAGGTATCGTACCTAGCAAACACTGCTTCAAACTCAGTTTGCGATCTAAAGTGCCAGCCTTGAAGCAGTTTGAGATCGACAAGAGGAGGGGTTCGCGAGGGGCTTCCAGGAGCCTTGATGGCTCTTGTCGTCGCGGATCCCCTCACTTCCTGATCTTTTTTCTATCATCTGAATCACCGACTCGTGTCGCACTACTAAGCTTGACAATTAGGTCGCTGTGTGGACCGTGTCAGAACGAACTACCCCCAGCTAACGAGGCATCAAGCACAGGTTTGGCAGAAAAACGCATGTGGCTTACCCTGTCACGGGGGGTCCAGATGTATCTGGGGATACGTCAAGCCTGAGATATGGTACACCGTCGAAGCAGGATATCTCTGATTCATCAGATGTGACACCTGCAGCCCGGGTCGCAAAGAGGACCCCACGATGCTCCGCTCTGACCTAGAGAGGCTGGCTCGGAACCTAGATTCATCTGTTGCAGCACTCATCTTGGTCTGATCTCATTTTATCCAGTGCCCCGCGTCTGTCTGGATTGTCTTCGGACTACGTCCTCCCGCGAGAGTGCTGTTCCTGGATGAAGAGAGATGAAACCAGTGTCCAAGCAGACCCAAGTTTTCGCCTGCATACAGATGCGCAGGAAGCGGATGAATGTCGCAGGACCCTATCGTGTTACTCGTGATGCCGATGCGTACTTACGTTCAGAATGTGAGGGTGCGAGTATGTGAGTGCTGAATTGCACCTCAATCTTGATACCTGCCGATGTCCTTCCTCGGAACTGTGTCAGCGGCTCTGATACAGATCCGAATTCCAGGATTATGCCATGCGGTATCTCCGCTCGACCCGAGCACTGTTCTGCTGGTTAGACTCTACTGCTAGATCTGAGGAATTGGGAGGCAACCTTATGTGGCCCAACATAATGTCAACGCACGGGTTTTCGGAACAAGCTCAACAGCAGCACGCTCACTCGGCGCCAGCGGTCTGGTTTCTTTTCCAACATTGTCCGGTATGATGTGGCGTAAGCTAAGACAATTGCCCAAGAGTATGAGGAAATGAATGATTGTCTTATGAAACTCTCTTAGACAACGTGACGTAGTGACCCAAAAGTAGAGGAGTTTCATGTGATTAAGGGGCATGTCTCTAGGCAGTATTGTGATCAAGGCGATTGTAGGAAGAGCGAAGACCTGCTGACTTACAATTCACGCCTCACTACAACTGTCGCCTTGCTAAAAATCATCGAAAGGTTCAAAAGTGAGACAGTCAGGTGGACATATATCAAGCCTTAGACCCACGACTGCCTAGTGTCTATCACAAAGGCAACACGCACACTGAATGTCCTTTCGATGAGTATTTCTGATTGCTAGACTTCCTCTGTTCTCATGGTGGCGGACTTAACGGCCGCGTAGGGACCACATCCTAAGCGATGTGGTTACCAGGATTGTCATTAACTGTAGCCCGCACATTGCACTAATGGCAAAGCATGCCACCACTGTCCCATAGGAGTGGTTCAAATACCCGGAAATCATAGAACTCGATAGCACTGACATTGTTGCCCCCGTGATCCTCCGCCACTTTATCCCTTTTTCAAATTCGAAACGATGTACATGAAAAATGAAAAAGATGTACATTTGAATTTGAAGTGGTAGAAAAGCAGCAGTGATCAGAACTTTTGCAATGTAATTCTCAAACCCTATGAATGCCGCATTTTCGAGCGTATAGATATTGATGAAGAATGAAGCAAGTATGGAGAATATCGGTGCTGCTATGACGAATAGTAAGGAATCGTTCCATATTTCCTTACGATCGAAATGGGCCTCGTTAAGTAGTTGGGTGATGATGAGTTGCGCTGTAAGGTACGACTGAGCGTTTTCGACCTGGTCAAGGTCATTCTGCCCATGCATGTGGAAAGTAAACGTTTGATTGAAGGGCGGCGGCACGGCATTTGATTCAGCTTGTTCTAAGATTGTTCAGTTTTCATTGCACCTTATGACAAGTTCAAGAATGCGCTTTAACATACGTTGGTCGGACTGAGATATCTCACCAGTTTGGTCGTATACACCATTGCTCTGCGAACCAACATGGCGGATTCTATCGGAGGCCAGTGGGCCACTAGGACGACTTGTAGTTGATGATGCCAACATTTCAACGGCTATCATTGTTATTTTAAGCGTCCCGAGAAGAATTTCGCAGGGGTTCCTACATGAACTAGGGGTCGAGCCAGGAGTGTCTGGACGAGATACGCGGATGCCCGGTGGTGTTTGTCGACGGGAATTCCAGGGGCGGGCGGTCTTGTACGCCACCTCAAATAGTTGGGTTAAGGGACTAGACAAAAGAACGAGTGAAATCACTTGCCCAAAGGCCCAATCATTATCCTCAGGGTTTCCCATATCACGCGTACTAGAAATGTTTAGGGTGCCCCAAATCGCAGATATAGAGATTGAGAAGACCTTGGGGTTACAAATTAGATGTTCCGTTCGCAAGTTGAAAGTACTAAAGAGGCAATATCACTCACCTCTGCTATCATGGAAGTGTATAACTGCAATAATATACACAATGTGTGGTATAAGGAAGCTTGTAGTGGTACGCACAACGAAGCTATCAAAACGGCGTTTGACGGGGATTTTGCTGATAATCTTCTCTTCAATGCGCGAAGAAGAGCTTGGTATCTGTGGTCTAGTCTTTCTTCTCCGAACCAGGAAAATATTTCGGGGATCTTTTCAAAGAGCTTGAATACCCTTATGGTATAACCATAAGTGAGTAAAGTAAGTGACACTACTAGAGAAAAGTACGATTCACTCCTAGTGATCATACCCCCACGGAAGAAGCATATTGCCGGGGATTCGGGAAGAACTCCAGGTGAGCCTGATTTATGTTTTCCGTCTCTTTTAGTCCGAAAGTTAAGTGTTACTTTCTGATCTGTATGTGTAGACTGATCAACAGGTTTACCGTCCACGGTACAAGTGTTCAGCCCAAACGTCACGCATGGGCTGCTGCCATTATGGAAGTTTTGGCTGCGTGACAGCCAGCAATGTAAGTCTTTCGGGGTAGAATTCTTGAAATTATCGCAATCGTCTGGGTATATAATAGTTCCCAGGTCGATGCGATCTGGTGTATCAGGAGATAGCCAAGATGAGAACGTATACTTAGTGATGAAGGTGAAGTGACCTGTAGGGATGAAACCAACTGACAGTGTGGTAGTGAGTAGAGACATGAGCAATATTCGCCATAAACGTGCGGCCGGATGATTGTTAAGGTACGTTCGTAAGAAAGTTAGCGCCGAGAGATGGGTCATGGTTGAGAACCATGCGAGACAAAGCACCATCTGCCAGTGGTAGGCAGAGAGGCCTTGCGTGAGGGCAAAATACCCGCTCAACATGATGGATAAGCCGGTGACCAACTGTGTATCAGCAAGTGTAAGAATACACTAGCATAATAAAAATAATGCATTAGCAAGTGACCTTCAAAAAGATACCATGACAGTGACGGACTTTGTGGAATGCTTGCTCAACACCACTCGTCTCGTCTGGGTGATATCCAAACCAACCCCTGAGACGCTTTGTGTGTTTGTAGATCATTTGATCGGCAGGGTTGGGTTGTCGTGTTGCTATCGGAACTATTTCCTCGCCCTGATTCGTCATCTTGCGATACGGATTCAGGCTTGGATCAAATCCGAACAGATAGTAAGCGATTAATATTAGGATCGTCGACCATGCTGCAATCGTGAAAGCAAGAACAACCTGAAGGAGTCGTAAGAAGCTGCTGACAGACTCATATTAATCTGAAATCATTCACTTACTCCGAGTCCTGTGATGTCGCCGTATGCTTTGAGGGGCTCGGGAATCTGGCTACAACTATAGTTCGGCATGGCTAAGAAGCAACGAAGGACATGAAGGTTGTGGACCGGATTTCGGCTCTAAAAAAAGGAAATTGTGGCTTCTTGTAGGCAGTAGTATTACGGCCATGTGCGATCTACATGCAGTCAGCTCTGGTTCTGCGCCGCATGACTACACGTAGGGTGGTCAGGATCAGGCTGTCACCAGGAAAAAAGGATAAATAAAGTACCGCCTCGAATAAACGTAGGCTAGCAACTCGACTGCACACTATAAAGAAGAACGAAGTGTCCGAACAATGATACCGTAAGCCTCAGACTTATTTTTGGCTCCTTGAACGCACATTAACATCCAGCTTGAGACAAAGGCCAGCATCTGCCTATATTACCTCTGGCTGTCTAAACACAAAGCTTTAGTCTTTTGGGGTCGGGGTTGGCTGTGGACAATCGCTATATCTCGAAGCACTTCAATAGTCATCTGATTCTGTACAACTTATAATTATTATGTCCCTTTCAGCTCGTGAAGTTGCAGATGTGTATAGTTTTGTCTCGCCATATTCGAGTTCTTTTCCTGTGTTCCTGAAATCCCACGCCTTGTCTTGTAGTGGTTATTTTTTGACAAATATATCAAGATCTTTCCAACAGCCTACTAATGAGCCAACGATTACGGTTGAGCTTATAGTGTAACAAGGACTATTACATCGAAAAGAAAAGTGTTGTAAAGACATCAACATGATTGACCATTTAACCCGATTCAATTGATTGGGTTTGTTTTACCTAAACCTTTTGTGTATCCCGATACTGGATATCGATGGGGAGAATAAAACGGTGAGATTTCGATACTTCATTTGTCTGTTCTGGAATTTTGTGTGTGTGCTTATGAGGTAATTGGGCAATCACTTTCAGAAGCACTCTGAATCACCAGAAGGCTTGCGGCATCGGCTGATTGCCAAGCATGTCATGGTTAACATGGGAACGGCTCTCAAGAGCGGGAAGAGATGGGTCTGCAATTGTCCCAGTGTCACAATCCGTTTCACCGGAGACGTGGCTGTGCCGCGTAGAATCCTGCTTGGTCACCGCCTTGATCCTGCAGCTATTGGATCGCTTACGTGAAGCAAACAAGTAGCAGGAGTCTTAAAGGAATCGTTTCGGCCAGGAAACGAAAGCCAGAAGCAGGACAACACCCCACATGTTTTGGGAGCTGCGTAGGTGGAAGCGAGAAACAAAAGAAAAAGAGCCCAAGCAACCCGACTGGCCTGGAGCTTTGACAGGTCAGCCCACTCAAGAGTCCAGGCGTTTCTATCCGGCCCACCCCCGGATCTGCACTAGTCCATGATAGGCTAGAGCACAGGCAATACCCGATAACGATAACGATAGGATCATCCTTCGACCCTCTTCTCCATGGATCCCGTCCGGGCTCCCCTCTATCTCCCCGAAACCCAGCCAGAAGTATAATCAACGAGACTACAGAGTACTCGAGAGTTTCTTTCCCAAAACCCCACGGCACAATGGTGTCGTCGGCGCCCCTGAAGAAGCTGGACGAGCTTCCAGACGAGATCCTGCTGCGCGTTCTTTCCTGTGAGTAAGCCTTTCTTATTCTGCCAAGAGGCAGGCGTGCTACCGGAATTCCTAGCTGATGGCTCGGTGCCCCTCAGTCCTAGAGCCCTACGACTTCCCCGGTTTGCAGCTCGTATGCCGAAAGCTCCAGAAGATTTCTCTCGACAACAATCACTGGCGATCGAGAACCTTTGACGAGTCGCCATTTTTAGAGGCTTTGCAAAGACGGCGGCGCATCACTTCCTTTCGCGACGACGACATCACTGACTACCCTCTCTTCAGCAACGGTGCCGTACAACTGAGTCAGGAAGAAGATGGTGACACAGAACCGGACCCCCTCTTCTACGATGAGGAGACACAGGAACAGCGCAAGCTACAGCGGTACAAGGACATGGCGAATTGGGACCCCTCATTTCCGACAGAGCCGGTCTTTTGGTATAACGAGTACATACAGCGGTATGCGCCGATTGCGACAAGTTGGCTACAGCAGCCCAAAATCCGAGACGGGACCGAGGAGGATACGCTGGATGTCCGAGGGATAGCTCTGTACACACCGAGTCGAGAAACCGACGAATTACTTGTGGTGTCGCCATTGGATGACGGCTCCATGTGCTTGTGGGACGTAAAGGGTACTAGGGGTCAGAAGGGTGCCACCATCGCCAAAAGCTCAGCGGGCATCTTATATCTCGACGGACCACAGACAATGGGTAGATCACGCAAGATCGATACCGGAGTGACAGAATGCGTCAGCGTCGACAACTTCTCCGACAAGGCCTTTGTCGCAGTACAGGGCCACCTGCTAGAGGTGGATCTCAACCGTCTCGAGGTCGTTGGCGAACAAACATTCGAATGGTCCATCACAGCCCTTTCTTCCGCCGCTCCAGGCTTGCCCTTGACCGTAGGAACCTCTTTGGGAATCCATCTCTACGACTACAGGGCGCGAGTCAGGTCGCCGAGTGAGATCATCGACAGGATAGATGTGTTAGCCGTCGATTCGCCAAGTGGGTTCTTCCAACGTAGGCGAGGCAGCGTTTTCGACGATCCGCTGCCGCCTTATGCTCCTTTATCACAACCTACGCCATTGAGCATCCTGCACCTGCCAAATGCTTGCGATGAGTACTCCTTCTCGGACGACATATATGTCGCAGGTCGCTTCTCCAACATCCTGCACTACGACAGACGCACATTCCCTTCAATCATGGGCTCGATTCATTCGGGAGCTCGACTGGCTAGTCTCGCGTCTCTGCCGTACCCATTCTCCACACTCGACAGCGAGACACGTCGTAGGAGCGACTTGACCGTTGAACAAGTAATGGAGTCGAAGACGAGGGAAGGAGGCCGGACTTTGATCGCCGGAGGCGAGTATAACACCAAGGGTTCTTTGGAGTTGTACGGCTTGTGCCCACGGCCAGGAGGTTCGTCTGCAGATCTCATGCAGAACTCCACCATGAAGAATCGTCAAACGTCCTCCCAGTCCAAGATTCTCTCTGTCGCCAACCAGGGTACTCGCATCGTATTTTCGGATGGGTCGGGACTTCTCAAGTGGTTCGAGCGCGATGGCTTCACTGAGGTGAGACGGCACAAGATCGGACATAGCGAGGTGGATGAGCGTCCATCTCTATTCGCCTCTATGCCTGGTTCTGATGACCTCGCGAGGAAGATCCTGTCGACGCAAACGCGTGGCGGACAAGATAATGTTAACGATGATGACATACTATTCTGGACAGGCGAGAAGTTGGGCCTCGTCAGCTTCTC